CAGCCCGGAATCAGGGGGACAGACTGATTCCTGTATTATTCTGGTTTCTGTATTCCTGGGCTGTTAAAACAGAGCACTGTCACAGGGATATGGCAGAGTCTAGAAGGCAAGGTTGATTCTCAGTCAGCACATGGATATACACCCTGAGCCTAAATCACACCAGGAATCAAAGCAATGGGCACTATCAACCATCACACACTGAGGCACCATTATTTTGGCACTCCCCAGCCTTTGGTCACGTTTTTGAGGTGCTGAGCCAGCTGGGGCCTTGACTGACTCTTAGAACTGGCTTAATTTTTCCCCAGTGGGCACTGTTGTGGTGTGTGAGCCCTTGGAGAACCTGGTGCTGGATTCCAGCCCATGGATGGAAAGTGAAAGGGAAAGAGAAGAAAGAAAGGAAATGATCCATGTAACCACAGAGCTGACCCCAGCAGCGTGCCAGCTTTTAGAGCTGATTTGGAGGGCAACAATAATCAAGGACACAGTGGTAAAAGGAAGCAAGATAGGCTTCCTCCAGGCAAAACTCATTGGCTGCATTTCTCTGACTAAAATAACTGGTTTTCCAGACAAAGGAAATGTGGTAGATTTAATCTGTTTGGTGAAGAACTCCTTTTGCTGCATGGGAAATGCTTACTGGTGGCATGCTGGGAAACATGGATATAATTGTGTAATTCATAGAGAAGTGTGAGCTGGCCGCCCATCAGCACCTTCAGTGCTGCAAAGGAGTATCAGGTATGAAGGGAATTTAGATCAGTTTCTAGTGGGCTTCCTGAAAGGTCTGTCTTGCATTTGATCTAATTTAGTATGCTCATTAATGACCTTGGCACAAAAAGAAGAAAACTGCTGAAAAAGTGGGTAAAAATGCTGACAATACAAAGCCTAGAAGCAGTGTCAATGCCTCAGAGGATTAGGATGTCATACAGGAAAAACTGAATAACCTTGAGTACTGCAATAACAAAGCTAGGATGGAAATAAACAGCACACAGTGCAAGGCTGAGTGCTCAGGGACCAGTAACAAGCATTTCTGTGTTAAAGTAGGGTTCATACAATGAAATAAATAAGGAGGAAAACATCTCGAATTACTCTAAGCCACAAATATGATGCAGTCATGAAAAAAAGCAATAAGAAGTTAAAGTAATGGATTTAGCCCAGAAAAATGATGGAAAGAGGAGATACAACGGTTTGTTGCATCCTGTGGCAAATAGCCTAAGGCAGAGAGGAAGGGAGGGAAAATACTGTGTGAGCTGATGCACAAAAAAAAAAAGGCTGAAAAATGACAATGAGTAACAGGCTAGAAATAAAAGGTTCTGACCCACATGAAGAGCAAGGTCAAAGGAGAACCTTCCAGTGAGGGAAGGAGCCTATGGATAAAGCTCAGCTTATAGGAAGGAGTCTAAGACATGTTTCTGGTAGTAGCAGAAAACTAACCCTTGGGCTCAGGAGATACTTTAAAGTCCTAAACAGTGAAACTAAGGGCTCAGGGTCTCCCGTGGTTTTCTGTAGATGCAGCCAGGGATTTCTGGCATTTATGCTGCTGTTCAGCATCCATGTAAGAATACCAAATATTCAGCAGGCCCCTGAAAGGACTCAACCTCTCCTAAAATCTCTTACAGCAAAGAGGAGAAAAACTACCAGCGTTTGCACACAGTCCATTACAAGTCCAACAGTTGGGGAATTTCATGTGGTTTTGGTGCTTTTCCTGCGTTGGAGGGGAGCAGTTTCATAGCCACAGACCCAACCATGCATGTAGAAGTGTGTGGCCACTGGCAGAGCTGTGTTTTCAGTGAAAACAGCTGATGCGATCTGTGATTTCTGAGTCTGGTGCCAGCCCCAGGGCTGGCTGTGCCGGAGTATTTGGGTTGGTGCTCCGCGTGCTGGAAGCGACCCATACGCACCGCATGCAGGAATCCAGATTCCATCTGGTTACAGCGGGCTTTTGTAAAAAATATCTAAAGAGCTAGGCAAAGGATTAGAATAAAGAGGTGCTAATAGGGTGCAGTTGGGACAGGAAAGGAAGCTGTAAAGAATTTAATGGAAAAAGAGGGTCAAGGAACATAAAAAATAAAATAGGAAGAAAAAGAGGCATTTTTTTAAAAGGTGAAAGAGTAACAATAATAAAGAATGAAAGATTCTTTTATTTTTGCCAGTTTCAACAAAACCCTTAAGAAAATTCTCTTCTCTGACGTTTAATTTTAAAACATGTCAATGTACCAAATCAAGTTTTAAATCCTGCTTTGTTTTTCTCAGATGCTGGGTTGCAGTTGGAGAATTCCAATCTTCTCCTTGGCCTCATGAAAGTACTGTCCCCTGCCCTACATTATTTGGCTCTCTTGAGAGGTGGCTGAAGTTCAAAGGAATATATAATTTACAAAGCACTTTGGGATCGTGCTGGAAGAAAGACACTGTTATTAATAACATACCCTTTTTTCCTCCTGATCACTTTATAAATGTGGGTAACTGCTTTTTTTATTTTTATTACAATCTCAACAGCCTCTTCCTGCACTTAAACAATATGATCTCACCCCATCCCAAGGAGTTTGCAATCTAGCTTATACATGGATTGAGAGAAGAAACAAAGGGACACTGTGGGATAGTGAATTCAAGTCACACAGCCCATCCAAAAGTGAAACAGAGACTGAGTGTCCTCTGACCCAGTCCTGCGCTGGCCAAAAGACCCCTCTCTAGAGATAAATACTCTGAAAGGTGATTCTCCTAAATTTTGAGTGAAAAGTGTAAATGCAATTAAAAATGCACAAAACAGAGAAGGTTTACTAGAGAAAGGAGAGCATTGTTCCTTCTTCTGAACTCAGGTGAAGGGCTTAGGTCTGAGTGGAAACGGGAAAGGACCTTATTGTAACAAGATGCTACAATAATTTTACTTGAAACCCTAAAACAAATTCAGGGCTCATAAAAAAAGCATTGACATGGTGAAAGAGAATGGTTTCTTTAAGATGTTCTTGGTCAGAGAATATGCTAAGCATGCATTTCTAATGTCTGGGTGGGCAAACGCAAGTGGAAATTTAAATTCTACAGAGGCACAGAGAATGTGCTTCTGAAAATGTTTCCAGTTAAAAGCATGTTAAGTGTGAAAGTGTAGTCTACACGGAGGGAGTGGGGGAGTGTGGTCTATCAGATCATCAGCAAGGATTCTGTGGCCTTTCCAGGTTCTAAGCACATTCAGTGTCTGCTGTCGTTACTCTGAAATAAACGGACCAATGAGTGTTCCTGTGCCAGAGCTCATTGCAGCTGGGCAGAACTGTGCTAAGCTGTGCCCATAAACTGCCTGGTGGCTCCACACAGAAGAACACAGGAGAAGAGAGACCTTGGAATAGCATTAAGGGCTGGACCTAATTCCCCAAAGGAACACAGCCTAGATACAGGAGCAGAGTAATCCTTTCTCAAGAGGTTTTGTGTGATTTAGCCTCACCCGCTGTGACTGCCCTGGATAGGCAGCAATGCCATGGTGGGAGGGCACCAAAGAGACTTCCCCAGGGGCTCAGGGTCATGGAGATCCCTCAGAGCACACCGTGGGTCTCAGGGCTCTGACAGACCTCATGGCCAGGACCTCCCATCCTTGCTCTCAGCTGGTAGAGGCAGAAGCTGCCCATGTCTTTCAGAACTTTTAAAGTTGCTTTTCTTCATCTCTACCACCTGGAACCCCTCCTATACCTGCCTGGGCTCACTCCAGTCTACTCCCAACAGCGTTCCAAAAGGTCTGGGAGAAATACTTCTGCCAGGACAGCAACACAAGCAGATGTTTCTTGTTTCTTTCTGAGAAAGTGACATGACCGAAATCCCAGCCTCACTGGACTTCCTCATGGAAATGACAGTTGTTTCTTTGAAGCCATGGGGATTTTGGCTCTGCTTACACACCAGGGTATCTCATTATACCTTTCAGTACTGCAAGTTGTACAGCAGCAACAACAGGCAGTGCAGACAGAAAACGAAACCTGAAGCAGCCTTATTGATGGATGATCTGACACTTCATTTCCCTGCTCCAGGGAACTTTAATCAGAGTGCAGGTCTAATTAGAAGGAAGTGTGCTGTTTGTTTTTCCCCCATTGTTTCTGCCAGCAGGATTAGCTCTGTAGGTGCATTTCTCCAGTTTGTCTGATTATCCGAGATGCAGAAGCCAGCAGGTTTATTTGAAGATTTTTTTTTTAGGTATTGTTCAGCTTTATCCGAAGTTGATTTTACTACAGAATATTCTTAGTTGAAAGGAACCCACAAGGATCACTGAGTCCACCTCTGAAGTGCATGGACTAAACCCCTGATTCTGGTGTTATTCTAACTACCATCAAAATTGGAGTTTCTACACTACTCTCCAATTCTAAACATCACTGCAGGACAAGAGTGAACTTTTTTTGTTAGAAAACAAACTGAACAAATTAAGTTACCTTCCTGTCTTTTGTCATTTTGGCCAGAAATATCTTTTTTAATATAATACAGATCAAAATTAATTCAGCTAAAATGCTTGCCAAATGAAAAAAAAATAAATTATTATTTTTAGAGATCTCTAATAACTAATGAGGAGAAAAGCACCCTAACTGAGGAAAGCTTCTAAAATGTGTTTCATCATAATTTAATTTCTTGACTTCAGGTTTTTGTAGTACTGTTTGACAGTTAATCAGACCCCATTCTGTGCTGATTCAAAAAAAGAAAGGTTAGATATGCAGTCACTGTACTCCTGTCTAACTTTATATTGTAAAATTGTTCTGCCTCCCAGGAGGCAACCAAGGGGAAAAGAAAACCATCCCCAAACAATGCATGAAGGCATGTAATCTGGCCTTACTGACCACAAATTAAATGGGCTTTGTCTGAGGTAATGAAAATCTGACCTGCTCAACAAAAGGAAATGAATATTACAGCTGCTTACTGTGGCTAACAATGTGTCCCAATACTTTGAGACGTTTTCACTGTGTTCACCAGATGGAGGCTTCGGAAAGGGGCAGTTTCTGAAGGGAAAGGATTTTGTTTTTTAGTGTTTTTTAACTCCTTACCGTGACTGGCAGGGGTGTGTGTTACATTTCCTGACCTGGGGCTCGGGGCGGGTCACTCGCTGGCAGTCACTGTCATTCACCAGTGTCATGGTCTTGTTAACGATCCGAGTGCAGGACACGATGGTTTTCCGCTCACCTGAAAGCCAAACCAAAAAGAAATGAACAAAACCAAGTCCACTCATCAACCAAAACTCAAAAGCTTAGGGCTCTCTGCTCCCTCTACCAGATGTACTCTACCACCTCTGCAAGAAATCTTATTCTCCACTTCTACCTGATCTTTTTACTGGCATGTTTTGGGTTGGTTTTTTTCAGAAAAGCTACAAATCTTTCCCCAGTAATCACGCAATTGAGTGTTTCACAGGAGCAGCAAGTTGGGCTTTCTCCTTCTAGTGTTTAAAGTGGAAACAAGCTTTAAAACAATTTGTTTTCATTTCTGGTTCCTCCTCCACAGGTAGCTGTGCCCTGTCATCACCTCGGGCAGATGTGCTGAAGTCACACGACCTCCTAGCCCCTGATAATGTGACTGATAATGATAGGACAGCTGCCTCCTGCTGCTCCCCAGGCAGGGAGTCAAGACGAAAAGGAGTGACCGAGGTTCAAGAGTCATTAGCTGGGCTTGTTAATATTTCAGAAGGAGAAAATAAAGCTACAAAAATAAGTTATTTCTCATCTTCTGCTCCTCCAGTCATATTGCTTTAAAATCCTTGTGGCAGGAGGCATCTCAGGAGGAGACAGCATTTCTCACATAAATTGTGCATCAGGAGTTTCATCCAGTGTGGCCCTCAGGGTTCAGCCTTCTACTGAGTGGCATCAGGAAAGCTGTGCCACAGGGAGCACGATAGTGACCAGATGTGACAAGGAAAGTGTCACTCCTGCACTGTGTCACTTTGCTTTACTGCTAATTACTTTGGTTTCTCAGGTTTGCTTTCTAACCCTGAGTCTGCGTCAGATTGAGTTTATTCACCATCTGCAACTGATAATAAAAAATAACTCCCATTCTGTTAATAAAAAATATGCAAACTTGTGTATGGAAAGGAGAAAGGCCCTTCTCAGCTTTGATAAGTGGCAAAAGCACTGGACAGCTAAAATAAAAGTCCAATTATCAAGCTGCTACTGTTGGGAACCATGCTGGCAGACATGATTTGATTCAAATTTGTCTGCAGGCTTACAACAAAAATCAGAAGAGCCACAAATAAATTTCCTTTTCACTCATCTGAGGGTTTAGTGGGTTAAAAATTATTATTTTAATGCACAAGTAGAAGTGTCTATTCTAAAATGAGTCCTATTTACAGAAAAAAATCAGTAATTTCAGTACACAGAGGGCAGTGAGCCTGTAAATGTGAAGATGAGCTCTTTCCTTCTGTCGTGTCACATCATAAATAGCTGAGTCTGCTGGTGAAGACAGACTGCCCAGAACGCTTGGAAATGATCTGTTTTCCTCAGGGAACAATCTACTTCTTCCAGCACTAAAAATGCAATGGACAGTGTCTGACAAACCCATCTCTGGTTTCACAGCATCAGCTCCCCCCAGGGCTCCAGCAGATCCATCTGGGCACATCCAGGGATCTTCTGGGAAGGGAGCTGTGCCGCGTGCTCCTGGACTCCCAGCACATCCACCCGGCACGGGAGCACCCGATGCAAATCTCCAGGAGCTGTCACAGCAGCACTGCCCCGCTCCATCCCTGAGGAGGGAAGTGCCTTTCCCTGAGCGTGCCTGGTCCTGTGGAAGTGCTGCTCCAGGAATGTGATGGGAGCTGGAGGCATGGGGCTGCACACAGCGCCTGGAGCCATCCATGCACCAGGAATCCAGGTGCAGCTCCAGCCTGCGGTGACAGAGCAGCGTCCCTGCCAAAAGGCTGGCTGGAAATCAACTGTGGGGATGGGGATCAGAGCTGGGAGAGCTGGTGAGAATGAGCTTTCATTAAATTCATTATGGCCAAGTTCATTTTCATGGCCAATTTCTACCTCTCCTGTGGCTGGAGCCTGCAAACATCACACAGGGATTCCTACCAAGCTTCCCGGTGTCCCTACCTCCTCCACACTGCACACTGCATCCTTCCCATCCGCTGTGCGTCCAGATGTACAAGGAATCCTGTTGCTTTTCTGGCTCGCTTCTGTTTTCAGCAGTATAGTTTACAGGGATGGTGTATTCATAATGAATTCCATAATTCTGGTCATGGAATAACAGCACCTGGTTCAGCAGGAAAAGAGAGGCTGTTGCAACACACTGTGCTGAGAGAACCAACAGGCTGTAAGATAGCACTGCTGGAAATGCTGGCTCAGGAAAAAATTCCTAAAATATAAATAACCAAATCTTTATCTAGAAATCTTTATCTAGAAAACTTAAATTACAATGGTACTGGTAAAACAGTGCAACTGCAGAAGCAAGAACTGCTTATGATTTGTGAATATCTAAAGCACTCACAGGGATGTCTAAACCTGGAATTCAAGGCCTAACTTTCAGCCTCATATGTAATCAGCAGGACACTGGCTATTCAAAGAGAAAGACAACAGGAAGCATTAAATCAGCACTTTTCATATAACAACTACTTTCAAGAGCATCTAGAGTTAAACATCTGAAAGAACAAGGTGATGATTCTCAGAGTAAAAACTGCATAAAAAGTCCCTTGTCTCCAGGTGAATGTGGCATTCAAGGCAAGCATGACTATTCCTGCTGACAAGCTGTAGCAGGATTTTACTTCTCAGAAAACTGTGGATGACAAGCAAAAGCCGTATCATACAGCTGCTGGCAACATATATTTCATCCCTGCTTATTGCTAGAGGAAGGTGAAACCTGCTTCCAACAGCAGGCTATTTCCTATGGAACCACTTGTGATGTCTCCGGTGTTATTACTCCAAAATTCCCTCACTATTAACAAAGGAACTGAGAAAAATGTTTATGTTTTCACCATAGGCAGATGAGAGTACTGGTCCTGTTTTGATTTACATGTTGGACTTCATTTGGCTCTCACTTTCTCTGGCTTGAGTCAGAACTGATTGGAAGATCTCCATCGCATGGAGGATGGGGTCCATGGAATCTGAGTTACCACAGTATTAACAAATGCCACAGAAGTACTACTGTAATGTTCATGCTGTGGCTTTAAACTTAATTATACTTATTATTCCATGATCTGAGCAGCACTAGACAGATGAATTGTGCTGGCTTTTGTCATCTACTGAAATAGGAGCAATGCCTTATCAAATAAGGTATTTTAAGCTCATTAAATGGAGCAAGCAGCTGCCTGTTTGAAAAAAAGACAAATCTGCAAATGCTACTTTCTCCCAACAATAATTGTTTCCCCTTCAGATTTGCACAAATAATTCCTACTTAACCAATAACCTCACTAAAGCTGTCAGGAGCTCGTTTAACCAAAGAAATGCGCTGAAAGAAGGGGTCCTGGCAGCCTGTGCTAAGAACACTGGAGGGACTCCACAAACTCAGCATTCCAGGAGCTTCTCTGCACAGGGCAGAATCCTGGGCAGATGAGCCTCTTCCAGAGGATGTGGGGAACAAAGACATGATTTTGCTTCAGCTACAGAGGGAGCCTCACTAGCAGGACCGAATACCAGGGTTGAAACCAGCCAGCCATCATTACAATTTCAAAGATGAATGTTGTTTTTTTTAAACACAATTCAAATACCAGGCAGCCAGAGGCAGAGAGCTTGAGCCCTGCTCTGGCTTTCTTGAAGTGCAGGAGATATGAACTCCTGTTCTACAGAACTGATCAGTCAGCCTTGTCTAAAGCCCCCTTCTGCTCTGGGAGTGTTTGGTTGTCCTCTGTTGCACAAGGAGGACTAGCACAGGCCTACTTACACAAACATCAGTTTCTCCAAGAAATACACACACAGCAATGCACTTGGAGAAAAGCCTCGAGTATTAAAAACCAGCTCCTAAAAAGAAATCCTTATTATCTCAATATGGGTGCAAGACTAGTGAATCTAAAGGCCCATATGAAACCAATTTCATGCAATTTCATAGCCATATATAATTGGGGTGTGTGTGTATGTGTGTATAATTGGTTTCAAATGCAGGTCACAATGGATTGACTGAAGCTTCTGGCTCTTTGTCAGTCCAGTGTATTCCACCACTGTTTGAACAACAGTTTTCTATTTAGAGGGAACTGGTAACCATCCTGCCTTTCTTGTGTTGAAAGAATGAAACTCACCACCCTGTACCAAGGAAAAGATTTGTATCTGATTTGAAGCAAAGACTTTATGTGTGCTTTGTTTACCACTGGTAGTGATTTAAAACCACATGTTTTTTAATGGTCTGGTAATTTTTACATTCCTCATTTTTAATCATTTCTGTAAAGGAAGGTGAAGAAGGAACATTTCCTCTGCTTATGTCTACTGAAAGAGCCTGTGTGTATCTGGACACTCATAGAGAAGCTCAAAATCACTCCTTTCCTATGTTAGCTACTTACTCCTTAGTGAAGGAGAACTGAGCATTTCTTTAAAACCAAAGCTCTGCTGAATCTGAGGTTCACAAAATGCCAACAACCAGATTTTTCTGCAGTGGACCTCAATCAAGTAATGCCCCGGAAGGTTCCAAGAGCTGCCAAAGGAACCCTGCACAGCATCTTTCCAAATGGTACCTGTGCAACTCCTGTTTCTCACATGAGGTTGGGAAGACCTTGGCAGTACAAGATACTTTATCAGAGTCCTGGTTTCAGGAGGGAAGGCTTGTGTTAAGGCCAAAGTCAAGCAGAAGCTGATGTTTCTGATGGTGAAGAAGGTGCCTGGTGCCTCCTTTGAGAGGGCACACCCTGGGTTACACAGGTGAGCCAGGAAGGTGCTGGTGTGCCCAACCCTGCACCTCTGACTATTCCAGCTGTAATCTCTTTGAACCCAGCTTTACACTGGCCTGTGAGCCTGTAAACTCACTCATCTATCTGAGAAAGCAAAGACAAAACCCCTCATGTTCCTGTGTGGCAGATTTTGACACCAAGAAGGTACTGACAAAGTGGAGTATTACTGTCAACTTTTTGTGCATGTGAAAAGTTCAGGCTTCTTTGGAGCTTTTCAAACTGGGTCAGGAAGTGTTGCACAATGAACACCAGCAAGCCAAAAAAATCAGGTGAGGGAAGGGAGAGAATGCTGACTTTTAGCAGTGCTTACAGAGAGCCTTTAGAGAACAAACATGGCAAAAACGCACAAGGAGAAGAAACAGCACAGAAAAAAAAATGGAATAGAATAAAAAAGTTACAGGAAACAATGAAAATACTAATATACTTTCTATGCAAACCTTGCTACAGAACCTGTAAAGCTTTCTGCAGACTTTTAAACAGATATATGAGACAAGAATTATTACAGCTGTCTCACAGATACAAATGATAAGGTTACACCAGCATTAAGGGACTGGCCCATGGGTCACTCTGTCACCCACCAGTGACAGCTCTGGGACCACAGTCCTGCTCTTCTCCCTGCTTTGGACTTCTCATTCATGCTCAGCCACATGGCTGCTCATAAAATACCAAGCTGGGTTAACAGAAGGGCTATGCTGAACATTAGGAAAAAATGTCAAAAAACACCTTAAACTACATACAATTGAAAAAACAATATAGAGAAAACAAAGAACATTTCTGTGTGTAATTAATTCATTACTTAGATTCAAAATCATATATATCATCTGTGCATGCTAGATCTGCACCTCTTCTGTTAGAGAGCAGAGTACTTAAACACCAGACATCCTGGCAAGAGATGAAAAGACATTTTAGCAAATATGCTTTTATGTGAGTGATCAGGTATGTCCAAGAAATAAGAAAGGTCCTTGAGAACATACATCCTCTAGAATGGACCTGTCTGGGACACATTACAGGGGTATCCTGCACTGGACACGAGCTGAATGGGACACTGCCTGCTCCCCCAGAATGGAGCATCACTTTTTGAGTGGTGAGCTGGGCTTCTCCAGCCCCTGCAATGCTGCAAAAGAACACTGTGGTGAGGAAGCAAACAATCAAAATTTAACTTTCAGCTAGTATATAAACCCTTTCTGTTGCATCACTTAAGAAACACAAACAAAGGATATAAAGTTACCATCAAGTGCAGTGGTATTTTAGTTGGTCCTTTGGCAGAGATTTTCTCCCACAGCCCCCTTCGCACGTACCGGACAGTGGTGCCTGCGATCTGAAACTCACCAGGAAGCTCAATTTTCCAGTCGCTGTTAATGGATCTCTTACTGGAATCTTTTAAAGCTGGAATGAATCAAACACCACAGAATGAAATGCAAGCAAATTGTAATTACAATACAGACTACTGAGCCTTTGTCTCAAGCTACCTCAAGCCCAAGATGCAGAAACCTTGATGTGAGTTTAAAAGAATAAAACCCTCCACTTTTAGATGGCCCATTGTAATGTTTCTAACTTGGATATATTCTGTACTTCAGTTGATGACAGTATTTTAAAGAATTAACATAAAATTCATAGATCATTTATCTCTAAACTCTCCTTTTAAATGCAACAACTCCGCAACTTAGTTTCCATGCAGAATTTTCTTTCAGTTTCCAGATTTTGAGACCACGTTTTCCTAAACTCTCCTTGAGAAAAAGATCAATCAAATCTTTGTTGCTTCACATGTGAAGATTTGCAAGTGCAAAATACAACTGATGCTGTGTTTGCGTGTGCTCTGTGTGAAAACAAAATGTGAACTTGGCCACCCTCTTTTCAGAGTCCAAGTGCTGGACACAAACATACAAGGTCAGGTGCTGTAGGATTAAACTCATCCTGTGCATCAAGGCCAACCTGGAAAGCTCAACTGCAGAAGGAGGATGAATATTGAGAAGAAAAGATACTTGGAGCTGTATGTCCTTTCTTCCAGCATAACTATTGCATCAGGATCACTGATATCCTTCAAACACTCAAAGACAACTCCAGCCATAAGGGCATCACATTACTGCTGACTCATCAGTGGAAGCTGGTCTAGGGATTGATGTGTTTTCTGTGTTAGAACGGAAGCAGAGTTATCCAGATGTTGGTGTGATGCACTGAGGGAAGAGAAAATTGGCAGACCCTGTTGCAGAGGAAAGTGCCAGGCCCCTTTGTGGAGATCCATTCACCGTGATCAAATCTGCCCTGACAGCAGACAGACAGAATATCCCACATGTTACTGGGCTTCCTTAGTTCAAGGTTAACTGTGTCTTTTGGCTAAGCCTTTAACAAGATGTTTTTTTAATCTCTAGCATCTCATGCCTATTTTATTCTCTTCCAGTAAAGAACACAACTTTGCTCTCGCTTAACTGAGTGTGTTGCAAGAAGGTAGAGAAGCTGTTCAATAGCAGCTTCTTTTGGAAGTCAATAGGAAACCTCCTATTGTCATCCCTTTGGATCAAGCCTCCATAGCCTGCAAACCCTCCTGGGTGTGCTTAGGATACACATATATAATTTGTAATATCTAAACTCTGGGGGAATCTGGAGCAAGTGGAGGTCAGAATGCTCTCTGCATCTGCATGTGCCTTTTGGAGGACCTGTACACTGGGAACTGCTGGGAAAAGGTGGGTATCTGTTCTGCTGCACACAACCCTCCTGACAGCTCTCAGAATCCCATCAGAGGCTTCAAAATCAGGCTGAAGGGGAATTGAAGTGGGAGAATATTTTTTCTGAGGAAAATTTCCTCTGGCACACAGCCTGGAGTACGAAGGTGTCCTGACATTTACATGCTACAGCAATGTGTCTCTCCCTATGGCTAACTTCACTTTCTGCTTTGTTCCTCAAAGTACCTTCTGCAAGCTCCAGACACAATTCTGAAGCAGGATTGCTTTCCTCTCCCAAGGCCTAGTGGCTTCCAGGCAGATCAAAGGAGCCACCACGCTGGCCCTGAGGAGCCATGAACACAACTAATCAAAGCTGTGGATGAGATAAAACTATCTCCAAGCAGCATAGCTGACTAGGAAAGATATCCCAGCACATGCTCAAAACTGTCAAAGGGGTTGAGTGACGTAAGTCATGCTTTGGTTCCAGCTCACCATCAAAGGGAGATAATTTGCTGATGAAAACCAACGTTTCATCTTTGTGAACCTCTTTTCTAGGCAGGGTTTGACTTTGATTGCTGCAGGCACTGCTCCCTCAGTGGCTGAGGAGATGGAGAGTTTGGCAACAGACCTGTTCTCAAAGGTGCTCCTCGAGGACTACAGGAATTGCACTGGGGACTCAGCAGAGCATTTGGGCCAAAGTGTTTTCATTGCTGTTTGCCCCCACTGCCCCATCAGCAAGATCACTGCTGCAGCTACAAAACCTTCCATGTCTCAGACACAGAGAACTCAAACTGCTTTTGTCACACACAACCACTGGCTGGCTCTGCCCAGCCCCAGAGCTGACAGAACTAAACTCAAACATGTACAGTACAAGAGCAGGAGGAATAGGAACCCCAGCAACAACCTGTAACTTCTGTTTTTCTTGTTGGCTGGAAGGCAGGAACTGGACAATCAACTTTTAAACCTGGCATCTAGTCAGATCTTTATTTCCACCTTGGGTCCCTCCAGCTTGCTTCCCAGCCTGTGGACACAAACTGCCCAGGCATTTCCTATTCAAGGTGGTTTTCGAGAGTTACAGCCAGCCAAGGCAGCCAGCGTGGGTTGCCTGTAGGTGGAGGGAAATTCTTCAGGCACTGCTCCCAGCACATGGAATAATGATTCCAAATTATGCTCGGCTTCTTTCCAAAATGTTGTACCTGGTTCTGAGCAGAAATAGGACCTGATTGGACTCGGCTTTGTCAGCACTATTGAAATACAAAATCCTTCCACACTCAGACCTGAATTTAGGAGTGACTGGGGATTTTTTCCTTTGTCATGTTTATTGTCCTACTGGAACCCCTCTGCTGCTATTCTTCATCTCATTTCAGCAAGACATTGGGTATCTTTTCTTTGTGTTGAGAGTTCCTTGAAAGAGAAAACCCTGGAAAGCTTAGAGAGGTTCTCCTGGCTCCTAACCACGAACCAAAGAGCTGAAAGAACTCAAAGCTTTAAAACAGCCAGATTTTTATCTATCTTTATGTGATGCAAACAGGGCCAACTCCTACTCTCAAAAATATGAAATCCTAATCTTCACCACCCGGTGGGGAACCATCAGCTTTAGTCAAGGTTATGTTGTCCCAGGGAAGGGCAGTCTTTAACTCCATGTAAGACACTCAGTGCTCTGCTATCCGCCAAAGCCCAAATACCCTGTGTAAACCCCACCAAAGCAAACAAAAAGGCTGATTTCCACAAGGCAGAGCACTTGCAAAACCCAAAGAAACACTGGCTCCCATTGTTCCACCAGGCTTTGCTATGTCAAACATCTCACGTGTAGGCGGGATCCTCTGGCAGGCTGGCTAAAGCATTATGGAAATAGGAGCAGTGGTGATATTCCTTCCTACCAAGAAGTGGCCCAAATGCCAATGGTTTTGATCAAAGGGCAGCTGAATGACATAATTTGCCCTCCTTTTTTCCCCCTGAATCTGGAGTGAAAGAGAACAAAAGCATCTTTCCTGGAGATACTGCCAACTGTGGCAACATCTCAAGACAGAAAACCAATAGCACAAGACCTGAAATCCTGACACAACCACTATGCAAACATTTTCAGCAGCATCTGATAATTCCAGTGCTGGATATTAACATCTCATTTTGGCTGGAGATGAAGAATTATAAGCAAAAGATATGCCAATCAGAAACCAAGGTCTGAGCTTTGCTCTGACTCCTTGCATAGCCATGAGCAAGCTGGAACACTTCAGTTTCCTCTTCCACAATACAGAGTGACAAACTCTGCAATCCTCTCAGAGCTCCTTTCTCTCTGGAAGCAATGCCAAGGCCATGAAGCTCTGATTGTGCCAGGGACCTTTCACGTGTCAGGGGTATTTTGTATCTTGGGCAATTTTCCTTGAAGCCTCTGCTCTGCTACAGGTTTCCTGTGTAAATTCAGGGCCATGGGGCATTAGTGTTTCTGTGACCTGGATTCCCTAGAAGTGATGGGGATAAAACCCTTTATCTATTGCACAGTAATGACAGAGAAGGAAATGCCACAAACATTGGAGAGAAGAGGCAGAAGACAAGACTGACAGATCCTCAGTGTAACTGACTGGCTGCACTTTACAAATGCCATTCTGACCTTTAATTTATGCAATGAGTAACTGAACAATAAATTAATTGACAGATTCTGCCCTACAATAACCTCACATGCAAATCCTACCCATCAGCCTCATCTAAACCTTTTATTCCCAACAGGAAAAGGAGGAGAGGATGCCTGTTCCCCTCTAAAGGAATGCAGAAGTAGAAATGACAAGAGGATTAAACACATTTTTTTGCCTGATAAAATAGAGGCAAGTGGACTAGAGACTGCAGCTAAGCCCATCTCAGAGTCAGGATCAGGTCTTGGGTACAGCATCCAGTGAAAGTATGCTGCTGTAGGAAATGGCAGCAGGTTACTGAGGGATATCAGCTGCCCTGTCCTGCCTCTGCTTCAGACTGAGCTGGGCGCCTTCCTATCAGTACCTCTGCTGTTCCCTTCTGTAAACACACTGTTCTCTTCCCCACTCCCTCCTGAAGTGCTCCTGGCAGCTCTGTGCAAGCCACTGCCAAGTTCTGCTCAGGAACTCTTCTGTCTGTATATAAAAGTACTCTCTGGTCCTTCCAGGTTGCACAGGGCCTGTAAGTGTCACATACTATCACATCACAAAAACATGAAACCAAGCCACAAAAACAGAGATTGCAGCAAGACTCAAATCACCAGCCCCTCCCTGGCAGCAATAAACCTTACAGGACACTTAGAGAAAGGTCATTTTAAAAAGAAAACAGAGCTGAATTTTAATCAAAACATTTTTTTCTTTTGTCTTTTTACCCAGAAAGCTGTGAGCAGGTTTATCCTCAACCACTCTGATCCGCCGGGCACCCGCAGGGATCACAGCGGCTTCGATGTAACCTACAGCAACAAAAAAGGGGTGAATGAAAGCAGGGCCAGCCAGGATCAGCCATCCCATATCTCCCGTGAAAAACTCAACTCCAGGCTGGGGATTGAGTGAGAAACACTCCAGATGAGATCCCTGTGCTGGCAGCCGATTCTCACTGCTGTGACAGGCGTGGTCATGACTAACATTTCAGCAGAAATGCATGTGTGCTGCTCAGCTGTAACTTCAGGCTTGTTAATTAGCTCTCATTAGATCTGCACCCTTCCAATCATCCTGGTTTTCCTGCAGTACTGACAGAGATGTGTGAGGACACGGCCAAGCG